GCCTCCTCTACAATGGGTACCGGGGTCCTTTCCCGGGGGTAAAGCCGGCCGGGGCGTGATGCTGACCACTCACCCCCATCTAGTGCCGAGGTCAAGGAGAGGAGCTATACCTCCACTCAACCCCCAAGCGCCTACATAGCGTATAGTGGGAAAAACTTTACTTTACCTCCCACCCCCAATTCTCATTTCGTGGGACTCTTATTAATGTAAAACTTCACTCTTATTTTCAGTTTCGCAAATGATTTCTCCAACAAAATTCTGCATGCGTCGTTGACTCTCCATCCGAGCTACATGCTGTACCCATTATAGTAATATAATGCGATATTATGGGTCGTATGTAAATGACGATGAATGAAGTTCTCGTATGTGAAGGCTCTATGCCTTGAGTAAACAAACATTTTGCTGTTATTCTGAAGTTCAAATATGTAGTGCTGAAACTGAAATTTGGCAGAATAAGAATGTTTTCAAATGGTGATGTTATTAATAAATTATATTATTTGATTATATTATAGTTCAAAAATGCCAAGGACCAGTAATTAAAGTGCTAAGCATACCCAAAGTTCGTAACGTGATTTTAATGTTTTAAGAACAACACACACATGTATCGGAATTACATGCCATTGCATTCATATTCTGTCTGCTACCGTGCAATGAGAGAGTAATTAGCAGTAGAATACTACTGATTTATTCCACAGGCACTGCTAATTGTTTTAAAACTGTTTGCAGTATTCGTGTCATGTAAAAATTAGTATTATTTGTTCGAAGTAAATCAATTCCCAACCTTGTGTGGTCTTTGGGTGTATTGTGTAAATATTGCGTCATTATTTAGTCTTTCATAACAGTGTATATTAAAATTATAGGGGTTTCTAAACTTAATAAAATAGTTATTAAAATATTGTAAGACCGAATTGTGTAATATAACTAGCTCCTTGGTAGCAGAACCCGCATGTTCAATACCGACAACACAAAAGCCTGCCACCGGCCACGATCCTGAGCCAATGTGTTAATATAATAACACTAAATAGTTTGAATTTAAGTTCATTCGCTTTTATTGGTTTCAATTGAGCGCTGAATTTTAATGCACAAATAATTTGTCTCAGCAACACTTTCCTTTTTAAACCTACTGTAGTCTTCTATCTCAGTCTGCTCCCACCACCTATTTTATCCTTCCTTCAGCTTCCTTGACTTCTTTAAAGAATGACGAAACGAAAAAGGAATGTTTAATCTTGTATACATAATTCAGTAAACGCCCGACTTCGTTTGCTGAATGCTTTCATTTTTATGGCGATACTTAGCTATTCTTCTCATAGCCTAAAGAAATATTATGTACAAGAAGTCATAGAATATTGCGTAGGTTACTTGGTGCTGCCTATAGAGCTTATAACACGTCATTGGTGCATTCTTAATCGCGTCTGAAAAGAAAGGTGTACGCCTTTCTCGATTTTATCACGGCTATGGGAAGAAACGGCCTGTAAGATGTGTCTGGTACGCGATTCACAGAGGAATTTAAAATTTCCTCCAAAACCCTTTAAACAGTTTGGATACCATTGGTAGCGACTTTAAGAAATCGACGCTCGGCGTCGCGACGGCTTCAAAAGACGCCAAATTTACATCTGAGAAGTCTCTAGATTAATGTGATATTGAACTTGAAAACCGACGCCGAGCGTCGCGACGCTATCAGCCGCAACGCCATCACAGTATCACACGTGTGCGTCTCAAACAGTTGGGATAACATTGAGAGCGAATTTGAGAAATCGACGCCCGGCGTCGCGGCGCCACCCATCGCGACGCCTTCAAATAACGCCAAATTTACATCAGATATCTGCAGATAACAGCGAGCCCTCAATTATAAAA